TGCCCCGCCCCGCCCCCTGCCCCTCTCACGCCCCAACCCTTAATATCCGTGCAAGCGCGCCAGAGAAATTCTGTTAATTGCCCGATACCGTTCTAATGAGACTCAGTTATAACCGAGCTCCACAGATGGGAGCCATAGATTACGCCCGATACCTGATGATTTCGATAGATATCGAAATTGGAGGCAGGGGCGGCAACGTATCCAGTTAGCTGGAAGAGTTTCGATGAAGGTGTTAAAATAAAACACAAATCGGAGCTGCAGCCGTTGAGGTTCAATTTTACCGTGGCGCGTAATTAGAACAATTTTAATCCTAATTCGAAAGTATCCCCTGGAAAATGGGCGTTGCTTCGAAAAAGGATGGTATTTACCACGCAGAAATATAGGAAAAATACAACAGTTTGAATTCGAGGTTTGCCTTCGTCGTGCGCATTGTGTCTTCGTTATTTCATCAAACAAGCTGCCATGTTCCTTTCGATCATTCTGATTCTAGCGCTTTCATTGCAGCCATATCGCTACGTGGTTTAAATTACAAAAATAAAATTTAGTGTCATGTATGTGTTCATATCTATGAGTATACAGAGCGAGTAATTTAATCGATCGCCGACAATATTTTCGAAACCATTGATGATACCGAAAAATGTTTCAAATAAATGTTGACTAGTTTCGATGATCAAGTAATTTGGTATGAGTAGTTTTTTACATGGACACGTAGAGGACATATGAAGGTTAAATTTGTTTTTTTTAATCGAATCATTCATCTTTCACTGCATTAGTTGATACAACTCGTTATTCTCTGTAAAACCGTATTAAGCTATTAATTTATTTAACTTTACAATGTAAATTTTTATACAGGGTATGTCACTTAACGTGAGCACCTTTAGCATCTCACTTGCTTTCAACTTGCAGAAAATAAATTATAATAAGTGTTCGACGTAATGTCCTTCAACTTTGATACATTTTTGCACTAATCCCTCTATCGTAGTTATTTTATTATTTAAATTTATTCTCATACATTTGTGGATTTTTCGTAGTCAAGGTCACATAAAGGTAACACTATTAGAGGTCGTTGGAATGGTCTTGATCTCAGCTATTGGGCCACAATGATAAAAATACGTACTCCCATTTAAAAAACTTCGATGACCTTAAAATTGCAAAAAAAATGATCTTGAGAAAATTTGTTTGCCTACCATTAGATTTGCCCCCTTGCTAAAAAAAAATTAAATTTGAAATTAAAAGATTAAACGCGTTCTGTGCCTATGTTTAAACAGTCGAGTACGTCTGACGTTTTCAGTAGTAAAACAGTTCCGTGATTTTATTGTTACATCACCGTTGCAAGGCATGAAGTAGTGACACAATGGAATAGTTTAAAATGGAATATATGGTTGAAATTTTGCTGTATACTTTAAGGTCATCCACGCCTGGTAGTATGTTTCAGTGTAATGTGGAATTTACGGTCGTCTGATACTGAGTTACTCTTGTAGTAATACTACGAAGTTGTACATTACAACTGAAGAAGCAGAATTTCTCGGTAAGACGCTATTCTTTAATCTTTACGACTGTAATTTCATATTTATGTACCAGTAAAGTAACAGCACTAAAAATATTATTATATTGTATTTGACCATTTTGGCTCATAATATAATTTAGTAGACTGTGGATTTTGTACATTTATAATTAAGCAGAATCTGCTGAGCACGATAAAACTGAAACCTTAATAAAGTTTAATTAATGCTTTAATTTAATTTTTAGTTTCATACTCACTTCAACTTTTCTTCATATTCTTCATATTCATTCTCTCATATTTACTTTTGTAAATTAAACTGTAACAACGTGAGTACGTAAGTTCTCCAGACATTCTTAAGGGGTTACATAGCGGTACCAGATATATCTCTGTATCTTTAATTTTGTATTAAAGTAGACAATAGAAACTACTATTTATTGAAATCGATTTTGAGAACATTAATATTTGAATCTTAATATTGAATATCAATACTTGAACTTAAACTTGTAGTTTCTGACATAAATTTTCAACTTCTTATGTTATTAAAAAAAGAAAAAAAGGCACTAATAAAAAATTCACGTTCTCATGTACTAGATTTTAGTCTTAAGAATATTACCACAAAGTTTCATCCATATTGGTTGAGTAATCTTTTAAATATTTCTGGTACTGATTTTGGAAACTGCATTTCGAGTAAAACGCTTTTAAAAATATAGCTCCATTTTTCCGAAATTACTAAGGAAATACCATATAATAACATAAATATGTTGAATTTTTAATAGACATTAATTCTGCATATACAAAAAAATTCTTTAATTTTCCTTCTTATTTAGCAGCTCACACAGCTACACTGTAACCCCTTAAGTGAATAATTGAAATTTCAGTGGCGTTGCGACAGTGCTGGAAGTAAAATTACAATATTACAGACGCAGTGAGAAGCATATGCAGTTCAAAAGTATCTCCCATTTTCATGGAAAGATTGATTTCTAAATTTCGTTCTATGGTCAAAAATTTTAAATAGAGTCATATCAAATGCGCGATATGAGAATCAGTTTGTATTGTTAGCAGTTGTCCTTTTGACCCCAATGAATACGCGTGCAATAGATGTGTCATAGCTGCTGATTATTTGGAAGAGCATCTGAATTTGCGCAGGGACCGGCAAAACGTTTTACGATTCCGCATAGAATTACCAATCATTGTATTTGGTGCTACTATTATCCACTTGCATTACCTTCTCCATTCTCAGTCGTAATTCGCTTCGCAAACATCTGGTAAACTGAAGTAATGTTTCACAACGATAGTGCCGATTCAAGTTTACGACGGCGCTTTACTGGCGGTATAATGGAAGAACGGTATGGTGTATTGTCGTTAATTCCGTTGCATTACGAAATACGGTCGACAACGCTTGCATTTTCTATTTGATATGAAATGCTTTCGAGTATTATTGCAATAGATAATAACATTACTGTGCTTTCCTATCTCTTTTGATTATAGAATTATTGTTATGATTCTTTAACTATTTCATATGTAAACAATACTGTATAACTAGGGGAATAATTTCGAACACTGAATTACGTCATGGCAACGTCAGCTGAATGAAATTATAAAATGTTGTGCTAGTCAGTATATTCACTAAATATTTCCCTAACGAAAGATCACTGTTTTGTTTTATTAGAAGTTCATTTTGAGAAATAAAACAATCCCTAATCGAGAATCGGTAGTTGCAGGGTTTGAGGAATAATTGCAATCTAAGAATAGCAATTTTTATAAAACAGAAATGTATCAGGTAATATCTCGCTTGAAAAAAGCAATTTAAAAAAATTAATCATCACGGTGCATAGTTCAATCGAACAAAAATTATTATTTCCAAACTAAACGCTATCGTTTCGATTTACAAAGTGTTAATAAAAATGTGGGACACTTTCATAAAATGGAGTCTACATGTGAAACTAACAATAAGAGAAAAATAAAAAATGACAATATTGCACTTGTGGCCTTGTTTCCGAGGAATTATTTATTGAAAATAGAGGAAAAATATGAAATGACAATGTTGTACTTGTAGCCTTGTTTCCGAGGAATTGTTTATTGAAAATCTAGCGCAATGAGTTGTACTACTCGATCAGCCGATTCCCAATTAATACAAGATCTCGATCGATGACCAAAAAATGGTCCAAAATTATTTCTTGATCCCGTTAAAATTCCCACAAAGATTTTGAAGGCGTTAATAAAACCACCATTTTCTTCACGTTTGTCCTTCTTTCTGAAAATCACACAATCAACAATAGTCAAACGCAATCACAGCGTGCCAAAATTAATGTTTTACAAAAATAAGAAAAATCTGAAATGAAAAATCTGAACTTCAATACAGAAGCAGCAATCTATAGTAACAGTAGTATAGAAACAGCAAGTTTATATGGTACAACCTAATATTAAGAATTTAAATTGATCCTGTTCGTCATCGAATAGTTAATTTATGGTACAGAAATACAGCTTCGTACGAAAACTGCACAATCTATAACAAATCAATTCTCATTAAATTAATCAGTGTTATAATTTTCATAAAATCACTGGTCAGAATCATTCTACAATAGGTTTGTAAGGGTCCAAGAATGGCGAAGGATGGTTCACGATTGTCAACGGAGCAATCATCGTAATTAAGTATCCTATCCGAGGGACTTAGCGGGTATCGATTGCCCATAATCGTTTGTATTACTTGTTGATGTCCGTGGACACGTATTTACTTACCCTGCTCCTGCGCCCAATTGATAAGGGACGGTACACGGGCATCAAAACTGGAATAACAGTTCTCGAAGCGTGCGGACGAGTCCAGGCCAACAGTCTCGTAATTGGCTTTAACTCCGCATAGCAGGGCCGTGGCACATGCCGAAGACTCTCCAACTTGGGCGTCCATGTTGTAAGTCTGCAAACGAATGAAAGAGGATGAGGAACTTTAATTAGTTTGCGACATCGATTATCCCGCGTAGATACCTCTAACGTGGGCACGCGAGCAACGATCACGACAAAAATCACGGGTAATTTATTCTCCCCCTGTTTTTCCTAATACTTTGGTAATTGCTTTACGTGATTTTGCATTCTTTTCATCATTGTTTCATACGTAATTTTTCTTTTTATTTAAGTAAATCAGCAATCAGAAATAAATACATTGTATAATTTGATTGTGTAGAGCTAGAAGTGATAAGCCCGTCGAATGGCAGGATGAGGAATCTCCCAATGAAGAGGCCTCTGTACTGAAAAGTTCTATGTACCAAACGCAATCTGCGAGTAAGATCTGCCTTCGATATACCATTTATACAAGGTGTTGATAAAAATGTGGGACACTTTCGCAGGGTGGATTCTACACGCCAAATTAAGAGGAAAAAGAACAATGAAATTATTGTCGAGACTTCGTTTCCGAGTTATTGATTGTTGAAAATACCGACAGGTTATTCTACTTCAAAGGCATGTTTTTCAAATGTTTCTCCAGTTGCTTTGATTCTTTTGGTTTTATTTCATTCGTTACTTTCACTGGGTCATGCATCGAGTTCGTGTATGATGGCTGTTCGTGTAGAACAACCAATCGCGACGGACGTATTTCACGCGCATTTTGGCCGTATTATTCAACAATTGAAACCTCGAAAACGAAGCCTCGAACGCAATTTTATCATGTTTGCAATTTTCGTCTTAGAGTTAGTTTGGCATGTTGCATCCACCCTGGGAAAGTGTTCCACATTTTTCTTAACGCTCATCTATCCCTCTTGTCACTACAACACATTTTTCTCCTAAAAAATGAAGTGTCCTTCTGAAAACGAATTGAAATTCTCCAAGAATATTTTGTTATGTGTAGGCAAATTTAACTGAGGCTCCGTGACATCTTTCTGGCCATGCGATAATGCGTAGTAATGTAATGTGCAGTATATGGCACAAATTGAAAGCCAACATACGTGAATTCACACATAAAACATTTCTACGTTGCGAATGCTTCTGTGGCCTTAATTCTGTAATACAGTAATGTCTCGATGAGTGCGACGTACTTGGAGTATTCATGGCCAGACGGAAAGGTTGTCAGGCTCTCATAAATTTATTTATTACCTGAAGCCGAGCCCCTACTCAGTTTCTGTTTACTCTGTTTTGATTGATTCCCGAGGCGGACCCACAATGGTGGGAATAACGCCGTTGCTCGAGTCGCATTCAGCGAGGAATCCATTGAACTGCTATTTTGCAATAAAGTTTATATCGATCGAATGCTCAGTTAATACGACTATGCAACGAATGTAATTCCCATTGACAAGAAATTTGGAACACGTATTTAATAAAAAAAATAATCGTCTGAAGTCGACATTTGGGAGAATTTGTATATTTCTGTGACTCAGCCTATATCAATCACTTTACTGTGGTCTACGGTTCAGCCTTTTTTTATTCACGGTGTAACCACAAGAATAGTGGCACGGTGAACGGATTGATCACTCATGCAAAAATAAATCGAGAACGTGGAACGAAGTTTTTTACGGGAGGCTACGATCGCGAGAAAATGGATTTTTTTTAGAATTGAGTGGTTGGGTTCGGAGCGTTAAAAAAAAATAGCTGCGTACTTTGTAGGTGTATGGTGTTAAGTAGAGTTCACTGTAGAATAGAAGCAGTATTTCGTAAGCATACATCGACAAAAATGAATACGGTTAAATGAATATTATTTTGTAATTTCGATAAAGTGACATTTATCATTTTCTTTCATAAACTCGTTTGTCTCATATGTATCCAGAAACCACTTTGACACAGTTACAACCTGAAATGTTCTATTTATTTTTTTATATCATTATACACTCAGCGTCAAAATTGATGTATCGCGAAATTTTCGTCGAAATGTTGTCGATATTTGAACTGATATAACTTCCTGAACAAAAATCAAACAATAATCCGCCTAGGGTCATTTTGAAGGGTGAAGCCACTATTTTCATCTCGATACGTCATGATTACCATTGAATATGATTGCATCCTAGGAAACAAGACGAGAAAGTCAATATGGTTATTTTTCTCGAGACCTTGATAAAGTCAAACGATTCTACGGAGATTACAAATTTTTTTTACAAAAAATCGCACATTAACTTTCAGAGGGTTATTATAAAAAGGATGTTCTAAAATTCCAAGCCCTGATAATTTTAGTGGCGAAGAAAATTTATAAAATCCGTAAGGTCGTTTGATTTCGTAAGATTTTCGAGAAAAAACCATCTTGACTTTTCTGCTTCGCTTGTTAGTGAAAGCATTTTCGAGGAAAATCAACTCCTGGAAGTGAATGTAGATGATCCGGCCTTCAAAATAACCCCATGCGGATTATTGTACTATTATTATTCACAAAGTTTACAATTAAAACATCTAATTATCTAACATACTTTATCTGTAACACCAAGTGAATGAAGAGTAAAAATTATTTCTTTCTTCCTACCCTTGGAATAAATGTGTAGTTAATACTATTATTAGATTGTGGACATTTGTGCAGATTCAAATTTTTCTGGTCCGCAATGTTTTAAGAGAAGAGTGAACTGCTCATCGTTACATACACCTAATAAAAGAATATGAGTATCTACTCTCATAATAAGGGAGCAAATACTCAGTGTACTATAAAAGAGATTTCTCTCACGCAAAAGCTCGTTATAATTCGCAATCGTCGAGATGAATCACTGCGTTGAGCAATCGGATTATCGCTTCCAGTTTCTACGTGAGCGAACCTTCAGATACAATCAGCGCAGTAGAAGGCCGAAGATAAATCGTAGTATCATCGATCTACGGTGACGAAACGAACGCTACTCATATTAGAAATGGTGAAAATACATATAACGCGACTCAGTTCACGACACGAGTTTTCATGAATTATCCGGAACGTAACGGTGCGTATGCACTGTGTATTGTACCAGGTTAATTCAAAAGTCTCTGCGTATTCTTGTGTTGTCTTTATTACAAAAAAAAACATACAAATAAACAAATTTAGTTATCAATGTAATTTACCTCTTTTTCAACCATTTCTTGTCATCTTCTTACCAACAGCACGATTATAGCCTTTAAACATTCGTTGTCGATATTTGATGAGCGTCCGCAGTGTTTCCGAATTTTGAGATTAAAGTCACTATTACGGGATCTCGAAAACCAATATTGGCAATTTCTCACGGTCACTACATTTAGATCGTATACTTTATTAAGGTAAAATTAGGTAATACGCCCGGTTGACAAAACTAGTCGCTATTGCTGTATTCATAACGAAATTACTGTATATTTTTGAAAGAGACGTAATAATGACACATACACATAAACAGTGTTTGCGAACGACCGAGGCAGGCTCGAATGTATGGTTCGCATCGGTGTATTCTTACTTATGTGCGTACAAAAAAATAGGGGGGCGTTTTGTCAACAGGAGTGTATTACCTAAAACGACAATATGTCCAGTAGCCTGTGCATTGTTTACGCATTTGTTGTTTTCATTAAGCATACAGTGCTTAATATGCATTTTGTCAGCGTTCACTGTTGGAACTAGAACTACATTGTAGTTTAAAACCATAAAATCGTCTGAACCTCCCAGTTTTGACCGAATAGCTGTGAAACAGTAACAAAACTTTGATATACACGAATATATAGCCTTTCTCTTTGTAGGAAATACTGCATTTCAATACGCTGTTATATACATATAATATACTTGATTTAATTGAACCTTAATATGCAAAATATAGGAATCGAAAATTTCAAGATCGTTTTATGGTTATGAGATATATTGTACTCTAAATTCGGCTTAAGGTAGCTTCCGCGTTTGGTGTCGTATCTAGCTGGGGCTCCATATGGCGCTTTATACTTTCTATTAATTTTACCAATTTAATTTGAATGATTAATATTTTAAACTACTTCAAAATACTTAAGTGGAAAATAAATTTACAAATGAGTGGAAAAAAGACAATTTCTTTTAATTTTTCTGAAAAAATTGGAAAGTTCGTTGAACAAACCAAAGGAAAACAAGCGACGTTGACACTCATAGCAGACATGCGTAGAAGATAATACCGAACCCATTGAAATCCAAGTTTGCATACTTTTATCTTAATTTTTAGTTTTATGTAATCGTTAACATAAATTTATAATTGTTAAAAATTTGCGAGTGCCACCGCAAGGGAGAGTCGTTCAGTACCGATCAAATACTTTCCTTCTTTTTCCTGCAATTGAAGTTTTTAAGAAAATGTGTATAAGGAAGAAGATGACAGCCCACGAAAAAAGAAACTAGACTTTGATGAAGAAGGAAGTTGCTGAGTGCATCAGTTGCAAAAAGTCACTTGACGAAGATTGGGTGCATTAAATCAAATGTAAAAGATGGGTACATGTCGAAAGCACAGGTCAAGAAAATATCGTTTCATTTGCGTTGCTTCTAACATATATTCTGAATAGACGTTTTTTATTCTGAAGATCTAAATTTCTTCATACTGAAGTTATTAATAACTTAGATCTGAAAATGTACTTACCAGTTAGTTACTATTATAAATTATAAATTATAACCTTTATATTTTTGTTGATTATCAATCCTAAGTATCAACTTCAAGAAAAGCAAATTCCCTCTTCTGATTAAATTCCATTTGTACTACAAATCAATTTTTCTAAATTTTAATTTTTATCGAGACCAATCCGCGTTACAGTGAAAAAACATAGAGTGGTCGGTACTGCACAACTCTTCCATACTGACAGCATATTGACACTACACTGATACTCGAAAACGAAGACAAACACTGAAATAGTGTAAAGAAAAGACAAATGAGTAAAACTGCATCAGAATCACAACTACATTTAACGAAACACGTGAATACGTTTGAAATGACTCTGATAATAATCGATCCTTCTTTGGCCATTCGCACGGCAAAAACAAAGAGTCACGGGGATGGAATGGAGGGACCAGAAGCTCGGTGTACATAAATCTTGTCGGCATTATCCGCAGGCAGGCCCGGCTGCGTAAAATACTGCTGACTTCCGGCGGTTTTCTTATTATTCAAAAACCGTGCGGGACCACTCGAGCGCCCGAGTGATCCGAATAATAACGCGCCATCATTCCGATCCAGATGTTTGGGAAGGCGCGCGTTTCCGTCGACTGAAAATGCAGCAAGAAACTGCATAAAATGCACCGCCGGCATTATCATTCGGTGACCGCGGCATCCGCATAACGCAGTCGATTAAATAGCGTTACACGATTCGACTACGAATCGTCGGATTAAATTGATATTTTAACATTAAAACTACCAAGCAAGTCAAAATGACTTGCCAATACACTCTTACAACGACGATTAAAATGTTATAACAATACATTTTCTCAGGTCTTTTGTAATTTTTATTACGATACGATATTAAAGAAATTAGTTAAAAAGTTCAAAAGTTTGCCATATTTTTCGATCCACCCAAAAAGATATGCGTTTATCGTTGGTAGTTCTAGTGTTAACAAGTGTTATTGTTCCTGTTTGACTAAAAGTACATACAGTATTATGTTAGAATGATCTAGGTATGAACCATGAAAGTCCAGTGTATGGGACAGTTGTATTATTTTTAAATGTGATGATTAGATTGTGTATGTTTGTGCGTTTATTACGTCTCCTAATTAGCAAAGCATAGTAAAATAACGATTTTTCATAAGGTTTAACCTTCACGCTGCGTAATTAATGTCACCAACTATCTTCAAAAGTGTTAATTTTAGAGGAAAACAATTCTTCAATCTTCTTTTTTGCATTTCTCCTGTTATTGGTATAGACCGAGTGATTCACAAGAAGTTGAACACCAAAATATCTACAAGCGGCACTTACTACACCTCCATATTTATCAATATTACATTACAAAATCGAAACCCACAGTGAGCGTTATGTATTATTATGCATTATTATTCATATTCTGAAGCCCCTAGTGCACGAATGAAAATTTTGTCTAATTAGAGTTTTTATACATTAGTATCTAAAGCTTTGAATTTGCATAAACTTCCACAGGCTACTGATGACAATATACAGCGAGTCACGTTATGTGTTACGAGTTTGGTTAAATGTTATATGAGTGTAGTAAAAGTTTAGTTTAATGCAGTTGGAGCGTTTAGTAGCATATAGGTCTTTTTATAAAACAGCATTTAAATAAAAATGTATTTCCATTCACATTTTTTTATGAATTAATTACAGAAAAAGTAGGGAAGTAAATTATATTTTGTATAATTTATCTCTGTATAAGATCAGCTGTCCAAGTGGAAGATTGACTCTAACGAAGTTATGCATTGACACCTTATGCCACTGCCGGTAAACGTTGATGCTATTGTACATGGTTGTCGAAGTGACAATATTGGAGCGACTATATCAGGAAAATTTCATAAAGAAAATCGATGCTATCAGTTATGCATCAATAGCATATCTCCAGCGATCTGACTTGATCACAATATCGTCGCAACGTCACAATAACCTGTACGAACGTCGCGGCACGGAAACGACATTCCAATATCGTTTGAGAATTTCTTTTCAACGTCGAGCATTCTAATGTGCAAAGAAGGAATTTTTTTTATTAAAATGCCTGATTTCACAAAATGAAAAGATTGCTCTGTATTAATGTGCCATTTCTTAGGTTAACAAGAAACAATTTTATGATACGTAATATGTCACCCGAAATGTATTGAAAATGATCGATTAATTATTTTAAGAAATATTTTAAAAAAATATACTGTTCATACGGGTTCATATTTTTATATATTAACTTAGAAGAATAGAAGGTAAACTAAAATTCTTTTTCGTATCAAGGGTTTTATTGTGTTAAAAATGAAATTAGAGAATTTAATACATTTGTTTTATTTAAATATGACCTAAAATAATGCTCTACGTAATTTATTATTTATTTTTGTTATTATTTAAACTTGTGCGTATTTGAAGACACTACAATCTATGCTATCGTTATAAGCTACAAAGTACGGAAACCACTTGACCTGGAATAAAATCATGCTAATTAAAAGTGCAAGATCGACGCATTCAGGCGGAATGAATTCAATTTAAAACATTTTCTTCCCTAACTTCTAAAATTGGACATAATCGAGTTAAAATGGAGCATCCGATATATACTTTCATATCATGATAGATGATTTGTTATACACAATACTGCAATACAAAATGAAATTTAAGATACTTCTAATAATAAGATAACCTATCCCTATACCTATCAACGTAGGCAACAATAGCTCGCATAAATTAGGATGTGCTTTGAGCAATTAAATACTACAATACATGTGTATGTTTCATTATAGTTTTCGTGTTAGTATACATTGTGGTTTAGCATCTTGTAGAAGTGGATAACATCTGTAGTTTATTCGTAAATAGACTACTATATTTAAATGCGAAAAACACCATAAAATAAATACTTGAATAAAATTGAAATATACCAATTTTATTTTGAACTTAATAAGGTTTGTAACAGAGGAAAGCAATTTCCATTCAATATCGGGTTTGAAAAATTTCTTTACAATCTTTTAATCTGCATAAACATCCTCAGTGTCATAATAGATTTCCCAATGTCTCCGATGAGTACGATAAGGCAGCAACAAGTTTGCAAAATTATATATGATTCAGATTCTATGATGAAAGGTTAACTGGAAGGAAGATCATTCAAGGTTATAAAAGTAGCACTTCCGGTTCCTAAAGAATCATTAACTATGGAAAACCGCTCCAATCTAATTGAATTCAATTACTTATGCATCTCAAAGATTGTTTCGGATGTTTGTTGTGACCGTCACTTAGATTCGTCGTCGTGAATACCCACCAATAACCGATGAGCATACATCATCGATATTTCACATCGACATCTTATCGAAGCCAGATAAGATAATACAATATAACATCGTACATTTTCCTGCCTAGGCAGTCAGTGCGTGTTAATCACCAAAGTAATGGACACACGGTCAGAGGAGTCGAAGAAACAACCTGATATGAACGAAAATCAGCCGAAGGATAGTGAAAGAAAGTGCAAGATGAACGAAAAGCGGAAATCGA